GGATCATCTGGTTAGAAGAGGGTGAACATGAAGCTGGACAGGTAGGCAAGGAGTAGATTATCTAAAACCTTGAAGATCATAGAAATAGGTTTTATTCTGAGTGACTGAATGAGAAATCATTGGATGGTTTCAGACAGTAGAATGACATAATCATATTTAGGTATATTAACCAGTGAATTTGTACTAATGCTCTTCATTCTTCTAAAAACCCTTAGATTATATAACTGCTATCACATTTTACAGTCTGTTGTTAGAAATAGTTGACCTAAAAATGAGATAATTCATAAAAAATGCAAAATTCAAAATGCTGTCATGAAAGAGAGAGAGTGCACTTTACTGGTTGGCACAGGAAGTAATAGCATTAGTAGAAACCTCTGAAAGAAGTGTTTTTGTTTTATTATCTATAGAAGACCTTCTAAGAGTCAAAGATCAGAGATTTTCAAAAATGGAAGAGGTCATCAGAGGAATTCAAGTTGGAAGACTGGTTGGTAGATTGTGGCACATAGGATTCAAATGATGATGGATGGTTGCCGAAGGGGAGGTTTTTAACGTTTCTCTTGATGGAAAGATTTAGTCATTTTATATATATTCAAAATACTTTTGTATAAATCCATAATGCTGATAATATTCACAATCTTTCCTCAGGCAAAGATCCCGTGAAAAATGAGAATTTAAAGATTCTGAGCACCCTGTGATATCTGAGAGTCTTGAAATCTGTTTTTTGTTGTTATTCTTCTTGTTGTTTGTTTGTTTAAAAATTTAAACCTCCATGTGTGAAGGGACCCAACAGGACTAGTGTATTGTAACCATTATTTCTAATTGGGATAAGACAGCATGGCCCTCAGAAATATGTGCATATCAATCCTTGGGACTGGGGAAAGGTATGTGTTAGCTAGAGAAAGTTTTAGAGGTAGTTCTGATAGACCTTTGTGTGGAGTCATATCTCATCACTTCCAGTTAAGAATTGTTTCACTGGGCTCGGAGCCTTATGAAGGCATATATCCCCAATTTTAATGCAGTGCCTGGCATGTAGGAGACATGTAAGTCTCCTTAAATGTTAGGATTTTTGAATGAAATAATTAAAATAATTAAATTTTCATTATAATTTTCTCAGATGTCAATGATTTTCAAAGGTATATTGAAATGAGACAATGCTTAATGAGCATCTACTAATTCCAATGAAGAAGCATTTTATATAGAAGATCATTAAAAAATTATCACCCCCAAACCTCTTCTTACTCCAAAGCTTACCTATTTTCCTGTAAATGGGCCCATCACCTGGTATATGTACTCTCTGTACCAAGTTGGAATTCTATAAATATTCTACAGGAATCTCCATAGCACCAGACCGTTGTTCTTATCCAGAGTTTTACAACCTATTTCTGAAACCCTGTCTATAGTTAGAAAAAAAAAAAAAGTGTACTTACTATTTTCTTATAATGGCATGGAATCTTTGAAAAGTAGTCTCTTTTATTAGTAGCCAAGATTAATTCAATTTATTCCTCCCAAGCTGTATTTCATTTTTCATTTTTCTTATGAAAACAAAATTACAAACAGGGTAGAATACAGAGTTACTTGTATCCCTTATCAGGGAAACCTTAAACAAACAAAAGCCAATTTAAATCAACAAAAAAATTAAAACACTGATGCAGTGTTCCCATTCCTATTCTTGGCTTTCCTAAGTACTCCTTAAAAAATGAGAAATCTCAGCAAGTCTGATTTCAGACATATTTTGGGTTCACATATTATATAATCTGTAATTTTTAAGTAAACATTTTTACCTACTAAAACAAGATATAAATAGCTCTCTCATTCTATATATCCCCCATGTTGTTCCCTATATAATGAATTTATCTAACCTGAGGTACAATTTGCTAGAAGGTATAACTAAATGTTTGCTGAATGTGAAATTATATTTCCATCCAAGTGGTATTGGTAATGTGGCATATATGTCTTAAGTTAGCACTTAAAAATTCAACAAGGGCACCTGGGTGGCTCACTCAGTTCAGCGTCTGCCTTCTGCTCAGGTCATGATCTCAGGGTCCTGGGATCCAGCCCTGCATTGGGCTCCCTGCTCAGCAGGAGCTGAACTCTCTTTCTGCCCCTCCCCTTCTTTTGTGTACATGAATGCACGCGCTCTCTCTCTCTCTCAAATAAATAAATAAATTTTTTAAAAAATTTCAACGAAGTATTTTACTGTAGGAAAGGGGTACTCACAGAGTGGAAAAAATGCCAGGTTGAAAGTCAGAGTTCAAGTTTGAATTCTGATTTTTCTCTTCAGTAGTAAAACGACTTTGAGCAAATCATTTCACTTAACTAAGGGTCAGTTTTCTCATCTGTGAAATGACAATTTCTGATTCAAGAGAATTATTTTGAGGATGCTATGAGCTAATGCATGTGAGTCTTTTTTGTTTGCTTAAAATGTGAGGCAACATACAGTTTTTGATTTTTTTTTCCTCAATGACAAATCAGAAATCCTGTATATCTTTTTTTAAAACTTAGAATAATGTTTTCATGTGTGTTTCATCCAGAGAGGACTTTGTAGACCTTCAAGTTTATCTTCCCCTCTTTTAGCTTTTGAAAAAAATTTAGAAAGCTCTGAAGAGACTTTACCAAGTTAAACAAGAACCATGACAAAACTCTAACCAGAATTCAGATATTGAGATGAACTAGAAATGTCTGCAAAATACATTATTTTTATTCAATCCTTGTATCTCAGAGCTAAGCATGTACAGCAGAAATAGACTAACTGTAGGAAAGATGATCTTTATTAGACAGTAAATATATCATCAACAACTTTTCTGAACCCATCATCAAAATCATTATTTTTCTCATTTTTAAATGGCCAAGTTAAGCAGAGCACGTTTGCATGCATGCACTGTTACTCTTTTATGAATTTCAGCTCAGTCCTTGCCCTAAGTTGTAAATATAGCTCATAAGAAAACCTTATGTTTTTATTATACCTAAATGTGGCAAATTTGCAAGCTTGCAGTCACTTAGATTTGGTTGACCCTTATATCAGTAAGAAACAAGATATTCATCATATATTCAACCAAGATTTCTTGAGCTCCTACGAGTTATAATAAAAATATCTAATATGCATTGTGCTTTCTCTGTGCCAGTTTTATGCACTTTATATGTAGCATCTCCTTCAAAGTTCACTTTCACTCCATGAAATAGATGTTATTATCATCACCATTTTGCTAATGAAGAAATTGGGACCCAGAGAATTTAAGGATGTTGTCCATTTTTACAAGCATTGGAGGAGGTAGAGCCCAAGACTAAAACTCTGGCCACTTGGCTCCAGAGTCTGCTCTTAACCACCTGGTTATGCTACTGGATGTTGAAAGCTCTGTGTTAGGGGCTGAGGATATAGCTGTGAGTGAAGCAGGCAGGATCTCTGCCTTCATCAAAATAGACGATGGTACAAAATGTAAGCAAGTGTGCAATGATGGTACAGCAATAAGTTTCAAGGAGAGAGTAATTACAGTTGTCTAGTGTCATAATGGATGGCTTCAAACAAGAGTTTAAGAAAGCTTTCCTAACAACTTATGACATTTTAAATCAGCAGAAGTTTAACTGAAAACATGCTGACAGAAAAGTAACCACCATAATTGGAGGATAGAAGAGCATACATAACTAAGTTTCATTGGCATGATAGGTTCATAGATATTGCTTTTTGTCAGGCAAAGTTCTATCAAATGGAACAATTCTTAGGTCTATGTCTTACACTGCAATAAACTTAAGCTACTATTCTTTTAGCTAAAGCCAGAAGTAGAAGAAATCTGATTATAGTAGTTTTCATTGCAAGCCTAAAAAGTCTGTTTTTGTCCTGAAAGCAATAGGAAATCACAGCTAGTTGTGAATAGATAGAACCAATTAAAGCAATATTTTAAAAATACAGCTTTATCTGTGTGATATATATGAGGAAGAGAGGCAATGTGATCAATCAAAAGCTATTGCAAAATTATGTGTGTGAAATAACAAAGACCGTCAGTAAAAATCAAGAGGAAAGATCAGATAAGAAAAGATAGTAGCTTCACTATTTTGCTTGTGTAATTGTAATCTCTTAGAGTCTAATAAAAGCATATTCTTATATACAAGTATTTCAACAGATTCTTGTTAAAATTTTAGAATCTTTTTCTGAACTAGTGTGTTAGTCTACTTGTTAAAAAAGTAGAAGTGAGAAATGTGTGTGAAAGAGCTGAGGATGTGCATTTCCCAAGTCACTCCCAGGCATGTTGGTGTTTTAAGAGTTAATATTAGTAATTTTTAAAAATCAGCCCCTTCCGCCTGGGCAGCTCAGTTGGTTAAGCGAATGCCTTCGGCTCAGGTCATGATCCTGGAGTCCCTGGATCGAGTCCCGCATCGGGCTCCCTGCTCGGCAGGCAGCCTGCTTCTCCCTCTGACCCTCCCCCCTCTCATGTGCTCTCTCTCTCTCTCTCTCTCATTCTCTCTGTCTCAAATAAATAAATAAAATCTTAAAAAAAAAAAAAAGGCCCCTTCTTAATTCTTTCAACAATGTAATTATGTCAATTTTCCAACAAATAAGAGAAAAAAATTTTTTTCCTTCAATATATTTCAGTTCTAGAGTCAAGATGCCCCAAAAGTAAATCATATATTGAAGTGCAGTGTAACTTACAAAATATAAAGAATAGTGTATATTTCAGTTTCTAGGTGAGTTATATTCTACTATTTTGTATACAAAGTGCTAATAATGCCTTTGATAGTTTTGATACAGTAGGAGTTGTTATACATATATGAAATATGCCAGTTACCCAACTGGTAATCAAGCCGAAAGAGATCACATATGAAATTAATGATCTGATTAGTAACACCTTTAATCTAACAATTGCACTTTGTGGCTGAATATTATGTATGTGTGCACGTGTGTTTGTTTTAGTTAAAATATATCAAAAGAGAAGAATGAAGATGAAAATGTAGTGTTATTTTAATATAGCTAATATGTTATTTAATAAAACCAGTTCATTCCTACGTAGGTATGACATCAAAGACGATTACACACTGAGAATTAAAAAGGCCATGAGTACAGATGAAGGCACCTACATGTGTATTGCCGAGAACCGGGTTGGAAAAGTAGAAGCCTCTGCTTCTCTCACAGTCCGAGGTAAGAAACTTAGGATGTGAAATACAGTTGAATCAACAGACTAATATTTGGTTAAATTGGTAAGTGAACTCACAGTCAAAATAATAGCTTACACTCTTTTATTATTATTATTATTAAAATGCCTAGATTTTATGTCCATTCTATCATGAATTGAAATAAAATTACTTTCAAACTGGGTTCAAAGGGATGATTATTTGAAGGAATTATTTTTTTATTTAATAAATAATAGCTAAGATTGTTTAAAAGTAAATCTTAAGAATAGGAAAGATTTATACTAATCTTTTATGTACCCACTGTTTTGAAGCATTTACTGCTTTTTAAATGCACAATTTTAAATGTACTCTGTTTGCTGTTTAATAGTTTGCCAGTTTATCCTAGGAGAGTACTAGTTTGAAATTCTTTATTTCAGTATCCAAAAGGCGATTAAAAAAAATAAAATAAAACCAAAACTGCTCCCAAAGTGAAAAATGGATACAAATGAGTTCCCACAATGAGAAAATCTGATTTAGAGAGTGATTTGTGACATTCACTGGCCTTAAATAATTGAAATAGTGTTGCTCCTGTAATAACTTTCACTTTCTGAGTGTCATGCACTTTTTCATTCATGGAATAATGTTCATTTATAGACTCCCTAGAATTGCTAATAAGTGAAAGAAAGCATTACTTAGCCCTACAGTGAGGTAGAATGATTAACTGTCTTCCTGGTGTTGCATGTTGATCCACATGAGTAAATTATATAGCCCCAGGTACCAAGTAGTACCATGTGGACATCTACACTTATTCTTGCCACATAGACATCACCCATGGCATCATTTCCACTCACAGGACTTCAAACAGAGATAGGCGAGCACATCCTCTGCTCAGTCTTTCCACCTTTCTTCCACCACCTTAACTGACGCCTCCTCTTGTCATCCTTTGTGAGGTCAGCTGCATGCTTTCAGCCCAGTCTCAGTTATATCTCACCCTGTGTAATCACACCTCCTACCCTTGTGCAGCTTTACTCCCAGAAGTTTTCATAAGATTGGTGAAAAGGTTTGGAGGAATTTACATTGGTGAGAAAAGTGTCAGGGATTCTCATGTTGGTCCTCCCTCGGGGTCATCATTTTTTCTGATCTATGACATCAGCACCAAATCGTAAAACAAACAAGCAATAAAACCCAAAAAACAAAAACCTGTCTTTCTCCGGGTAACTCTTAGGAGACATGGCACTTTGGATAACTTGGAAAATATTGATGATTTCCACACTTCTCAATCGCTCCACTTTTATTCCACCAAATCCATTTTTTTTCCCATCAGGACATTCTAGCGTGAACTTAGATACAAAACAAATTTAGACAAAATCGGCATGCCGGCTGCTTAAAAACATTTTCATTCCTCATGAGTTACCAGATCATAAAAAGCTGTGATCATATACCAATCAAATATATAGACTGATTGTATATTATCAAAATCCAATAGCCTTTATAAGCCACATTACTACATTTAATCTACATTCTCTGTAGGTGATTATATATTTATATATATTTGTTTGCTAGGCAATCCTTTGGGAAAACAATTCACCTGACCAAATTTTCCCCAAAGCTTGTTTATTTGTTGTTTCTGAATTGAGTGGGGAAAAAAAAATAAACAACCCACCAAGAAATGTTCCATTTAAAAAATATTTGCTGACTAAACAAAAGGTCGAGAAAATGTGAGGAGTTGTTTGTTTATAGAAGCAGCAGGATTCTTTTTATACTTGAATGCTTGGATGAATGAGACGTGAAGTGGTCTGTTTGCTTTGAGATATTTCCCAGCTAATTGTTTTCATAATTTGTTGAAAGTTGCAGGTTTAACATTTCATTTAACAAAGCATGCTCCTCTCACATGGATGTTTCTAGCTAACTTAAAAAACTAATAGAGTTTTTTTGTTTTTAATAGGATTTTTTTTAAATCAGCAAACCTTAAATGGTCTCTCCCCTAATCTGTGTCCTGTAGATGGATTAGAGAGTTTAATCTGTGTGGTATGTATTTATTACTCATCTAAGACTGAAACCTCAAAAACAGGGTTAAAGAAAAAGAAAACCTCCATGATACAATAGAATGTGGAGTAAAATATTTAAAAATATTTTTTATCATTAGGAAAAGCAGTTGGAACTTCTCATGCTAAGAGGTTAACAGGAGAAAAAGCATATTATCTGTGACTTATTATTTTCTGTGCTCATTTTTCCATGCACATACATGAAATGTTTAGCCCTTCCCTGGATTGTTTTATTAGAACAGGGTCAACTGACCCAAGAGGCCACATCCATTTTCATCCATTTAATGCAGGGACACAGTTTAATTTGCTGATTTTGAAAACATCCACCTGCTAGGTTTTTTCCAGATGAAATGTTGCTATGTAACAAAAACAAGAAGTTTAATTGGGATGTTTCTGCTAAAATTTTATCATGATGTTCAATTGGGGAAAAGAAAAAGAACTTTTATAGTCAAAATCTGAAACAGAGATTTACTCAGTTTTCCACTTTAAAATAAGGTGAAAATAGACTATAAAATTAAACTTAACAGCAAGTAGCTCCCTTTGCTGACCTGACAAACATAAAATTAGAAAGAAACAATGCTAGACAACAACCAACCTCCTAGCATTTATATTCTAGTCAAATAATTCATGATCCAATAGAACGTTTTTAAATGGGTCCAAAATGAGTTAACACAAACTGCATATTTGTAAACACATTTTTTTCCCCATTTTCAGTTCTTCAAATTGGCTTTGCATAAATCAAGACTTCATTGGAAAAGCTATCTTGTTTTAGGGCAATAAAACCTTTTTTTAAATAAAATTACTCTAGACTAAGTGAGATAGAAATATGTTTTATTTTTTTAAGCCTGATTTTTTGCCATGGTTTCTTCTTTTTCTCTCTTTAATATCAATAGATTCAAAATGTCTTTTGGTTTCTACATGAAACATTATGTTGGGGATTCAGCCTGAGGTTGCACCTGAAAAATGCACATTCAAAACGAAAATACAAAGTTATTTTCCTACTGGACATTGATAAAATTAAGAGATATATCTTTCGAATGAGGCACAACTTTATGATGTTAGTCTGTTGTCTTGTTCTCAGTTGCTATTTTTGTGTGCACCTTACCCCGAGAAAGGAAACAAACTGTGCATTGGGCAACTTTCTGATTTTCTTCCTCTTGCTATGTAGGACACACTAGAGGGTCACTAAACTAGAATTTTCGTCCTGCTGCTATAATTGCTTTATTCTTCTTTGAATTCTCTTAATCTCCCCCTTTTAACTGTTAATAGCATCTCCTACAGAGACAACTCCATATTGTTTCAGAGAATGCACAAAGCTAGTATCATGATGTATTGATTGAGGGAATGAATGCCTATAAATATGGTTTCAATGGCTATATTTATCTCATCATGTCCAATGAGACATCATAAGACAAAACTGCCTAAATTCTAGAGTCACGTTATATATGCACTAGAGCTTTATCCATGGGGATGTGGGTGAAACACTTGTTTGTTGTGTAAGTTTATATTTTGATTGCAAGAGTTCATAATAGTTCATATGCTACTAAATATATTTCCTCTTCATTTGAATAATGGCACCATATGTTTTATATTTGTCCATTATTTTTATATGAAGTGGTTTATTATCTAAATTGATTTGACATTATTCTCTTTAAAGAAAGTATTATTAAGCCCATGTGTGTCTCTCACAATTGCTGTGCATTAATAACAGGGCCAGCCTGATTTTAGTGATTAAGTTATGGTATAATAAAAAAATAATAATTTGTTGAAGCAGCAGTTTGAAAGCCATTCTCAGTGTGAACAAGAATCAACTTGTCAGTCATTGTTTCCTGCCCTCTGTCAAAAAAAAAAAAGAAGGAAGGATGGAAGGAAAGGAAAGGAAAGGAAAGGAAAGGAAAGGAAAGGAAAGGAAAAAGAAAGGAAGGAAGGATGGAAGGAAGGAAGGAAGGAAGAGAAAGAAAGGAAAAAAGCTTAACAGTAGTTAGGGAGCTACTCAGTTGAAATCTCTAAGGATGTTCCAACCTATTTGTTATATTTTCATCCACCCTGTCCATGGATGAAAAGTGATGTGATCTTAATACTGGCTGAAAAGCAGCGTCAGGGGCTTTTAGGTAGTCCTTGCGATGGTTCTGACTAACCATGCTTAAAATCCAATTGCTATTTAAATCAGACAGTGAGGACTTCTATTATTGACCTGACATTTACTAGTCTATGACTTGGATAGTTATATTCATCAGGTTCTTAACTTTGGGGCAATACAGGCTGTTTAAAAAGATCTTTGAAAAAATAACTATAGTAAGTGATGACAATACGACTTTACATAAAATATCTCTCAATTCGCATAGAGCTAATTCTGCAATGAAAATAATTATTTTCTTAGAATTATATTTATAACTTTCAGTTTTAGTCAAACTCAGACATCCTGTTCATACTTGAATTATAAGACTAGAGATCACTCTACTGTCCATACTTAAGTGTAACATTACACATCATGCATTCTGACAATTTTCTTTTTTTTTTTTTTAATTTCTTCTTTATGTTCTCACCACACCATTGTAATGTCTACAGCTCGCCCTGTTGGTAAGTAGCCATCCTTCTATCCATTTAGCATGGCTTTGTACAATGCTCCATAACTCATGCATAGTAGGATTTGATAGAATGAAATATATTTATTCACCCATGTTAAAATATTACTTGTGGGACTCTCTTCCGTAAAAGTTGCTCCTGATCTATTCATCATTTTGATAAACCATTTTGTAGTGACCTATGGTATTAACAATGAATAGGTAATGATTTTCATGGAAAATAATATATGAATGTTTAATACTATATAAACTGCTGATTTTTCTTAAAGAGAAAAATATAATAATTCATTTTTCCTGTATATATATAATAATCATTTATTAGTTATGCTTGATACTCATTAAGATGAATGATTAGGAACTAAATTAAGAAGTTTGATTACTTGATGCACTTCTTTGATTTTAAACTGCTTTGAGTCCTTGCTTTATAATGGCATTTTTAACTGCAGTATACTTATTATCTGTTTTCCTATTTAAACAAAATTTGGTAGAATGCTTCAAGTTGTTCTAAGTAGATGCTTACACTAAGAGGAAAAGAGAAGGATGAGTTGTGTTCTTTGGCATGAAAAGTTGGTGATTTTAATATACCTCATCCTTCATTTGGCTGTGCAAAATTGAAGTTAACTGTTTGCATTTGCAGTAATTTAAGTGGTAATTATTTGTAAACATTTGGAAAGTAAGATCTTTTCAAATCCATCGATTTAATAACCTTTCTCCATCTCTTTTAAAGTTTAGCTTAACCAACCAACAAAAGTGTTTAAATAAAATAAATCTTGGTAATTGTGTTATAAGTAAATGAACAGATGGATGCATAAATGGACGGATGGATGAATGAATGAATTTACTATAGTGCTTCTTTAATATATCTAAAGATATTTTAATACATTATTTGATTTGACACAGTTTTATAAATGGTCCATTTTGAAAAAATTTTGAAGAAATCCATTTTGAAGAAAACTTCAAAATCTTTCTTAATACACTGGCTTGACATTGACATTCGATATGTATTGTTCCAAACTCATAACATTTTTCTCCATTAGTTGAAACATTCACAAACTTTATTGTTATGTAGTATATTCTTGCATAGAGAGCAAATATAGAAAATTTAGAACTTTGGTTTCCCCATCTGTTTCTGGTCTGCAATTTCTGAGCAGTACTTCCTTTGTTAATTGTTTAATATTCCTGATCCTAGGTCACTTTGTCTATAAAATGGAGAGAGTAGTATTGACTTATCAAAGCTGTTGTAGGGATGAAATAAGCTCAAGATTGATTATGTATGTGAAAACACTTTGTATGCCAACAATGGTTAACATATTCCTAATTTCTGAGACATAATATTATTTCATATTTTTATATTTTTGAAACACAGTTATGGCTTACAATTAATTTGAATGTAAAATGCAGGCTTTTTTTTTTTCTTTAAACACAATTATTAAATTGATCATGCTTTTTACAATTGGGGATGTTAGGAAATTGAGGAATTTTTAAGCCTTATTTTTTAGTATTTGTATGAATTCTTATTAATGATAACTTTACCTATCTGTGGTATGATATCTAAAATTAAGAAGTGAATAGGAAGCAATAAGATAACTTTGCAAGTTAACAGGAAAAATAACATTTAAATTTTAGATCTTTCTGTATAGAAACCTTATGCCGATAAACCATGACCACTTGACTTACATTATCTCACAAGTCCCCAGAACAGAAAACAACATGTTAATAATTTCCAATACATTTAAAGCACAGAAATAATTAAAAAAAAGATATACATTGATTAGAAAATGTGATGTACAGGGAGCTTTGAGATGTACTTGTCACCTACAAGGCATTTCATAGTTATTTCTGTTTTTATTCTTGTTTAAAATGATTTCTTAAATTCCCATTGGGCTGGAACTAAAGAATAGCTTCTTGACACATGGTATTTTATTCTGGGAAAGTCTGTCATTTCACAAATCTATCTCCAATGACTTATGACAATGTTCAGAAATATGAAGAACTATACTTTAAACTTGACAACTGCTATTAATTTTGGAAACTGAATGTTGGATATGCTTTTATTGGATCACCAAAGATGAGATGGATAATGAGGAAATTAGCTTGCTTTTTCTTTGCATAAGCTTTTTACATGAATTTTAATTCAGGAGCTATGGATATGCCAACTTTTTTTGTAAGGTCAGAAGGGTACAAGTCAAGTAAATCATAAATGGTCAAATAATAGAAAACTACATTAATATTAATATTTGTTAGTTGACTAAAACACAGGTTTTTCAACTTTGAAGCTCTTAGCAAAGTACATTAATATTAATATTTGTTAGTTGTTTGAAATGCAAGATTTTCAACTTTGAAGCTCTTAGCAATAGCATAAAGGGTATTCCACAAAGTAGAAATCACAGAAAAGGGAGAAAATCCAGCTTTGAAGTCCAATATAAATTAGGTGAAGAAATATGTACCAAATATCTAAAATTTAGAGAAAATTCAAGGGATAGTTCCTGTGTAAAGATTTTGAAAGAAAATTAGAAATCTATGCAAACTCCAGAATATTTATAGATTCAGAAATTAATAACTACATTCCATACAGGATTAAAAAAACAAACAAACAAACAAACAACTTGGTAGTCCATGTGGAAAGCCCATTTAGAAATCCTTATAAACCCCGAAACTGGGAGTTTTGTCTCAATGGATAATTCTTATGACCTTCATTTGAATTAAAGAATTGGCGACTCTATGCAATTTGCAGTTGGAATAAACACCTTCTGGTCTATTTTTGAGACTGTAGGAAAAACTCTTGACTTAGAGGATCCTCAGTGGGGGAAGTATCAGTGAAAGCAGACAATCACACACTTGCCAATGGAGAAAAGTATTCTCCAGATTTCACTTGCTCATTGGCAAAGTCAACATTTCAAAAAGAGTCCTTCAATGCAACTTCCATAATTTGGTTACCACAAAATTACCATGAAATTGAGACAAATGCCACTTTGATTAGTAAAAGTCTGCCAGCCCTTCTTGTGGCTTTGACTTTTTACTATTCCGAAGGCATTCTTTGTATGAGAAGCAAAAGTACATGCTAGGACAGAGTTAACTAAGAATGTTGAAATATTCATTTATTTGGAAAACTCTTCCGATAAGTTCTGATAAGGGAACTGACAGAAGAAAATGGTCTAAATAGGAATAAATATCTTGCTTCCTATACCCATCTGTCTTATTTTCTCTTGGAAGCCTTTCCCAAGCTTAAAAATAAAAAAGAACATCTATTTTGGAGACGGGCAGCACATTTTTTCCTAGCAGCAACTCAAAACATGATGAGTAATTTGGAAGAGAACTGTCAAATCTACCAGCTGCCTTGCTAGTGAACTGAGGCCTGCTCCGTTTTCTATCATGTATACCATATGCTAGATGCTGACTGCCTCCAGTATGGAAGCTAAAAGCTGTGGGCATCAGGTGAAACTTGTTTAAAAAATCAAAAACAAACTGACAATACACAACTTTATGGAATCTTCTAAGTATTTCCTTATTTAGTGACTCAAAAGTATGTTTCCTTTTGATGGAAGAATATAATTGGCCATGCAAGAGTTTGTAGGTATTGAGAAATATGTATGTTTGAGACAAAATTCCCATTTTTTAATTATTGTTTTAAAGAAGTAGCCGCTGTTCTAAACAAAAATCTATAGGGACTTTGTTTATTTTTTCCAATCTTTTCACGGCTTAAACACAAAAATTAAACAGATCCTCATTTTAGAAAGTTCCGTTTTGAGCTGAAGTGTAGTGTTGTTTTAACATGCTCTAAAACACATTATTGAGACCACCAAGATGTCCAATAAAAAGTGAGTATTTGAAAAATTCATTCAAGGCAAATTATAAAGCAGACATTACTTACAGAATAACACAACTGATCTTTCTGACACCACCACCCTCTATCCCACCTTGAAATCTGGAAAATTGTATGTGCTGTATATAATTTAACTTAAGATTGGAAATATTCCAGGCTTTCTTTTTTTTAAATCAGAAAACATGTAGGTATTATATATGAACCCTTTCATGTCAAGATCCACTTTTCTGCAAAAGGCGTCCTGAGTGTGTCTTGGAAGGAAACCTATACTTTTATTCCCTGCAGACTTTCTTCCTTGGACAAGCTGTTACCCCATGACCTGAGGCAATCATCTCCCTCCTACAAGCACTTAATGTTTCCTGCACCTGGCACTAATTAGCTACCTTATGCAGAGTCCCATTTAATTTTTATTAAGCATCACGTTTTTCATTGCTCCATATGTTTTGATTAAATAGTAGGTTAAAAAAATGCATTCTGTTTTGTCTTGTACATTCCAACAGAGTTTCCATAATGTGAAACGTTTAAAATATCTCAAGCTAATGCTAATTCTTAAAGTGAAAAACAAGTGCTAGCTACTTCTCATGCTTGGCTGGTTTTAGCACCGACCTGATTCTTCTGCAAGGACCTGTGTGTTTGACAATGTCTGTTCATTGCCTCTAAAGTAGAAGATAAGTATAAAATTATTGAGTCATATTTTTTTTCTCTCAAACCTTGGTGAAAATGTCGGATTGTTTTAGAATTGGAATTGTACTGTAGTGAATTCTGAGGTTTATGGAATATTTCTATCTTTGGCTGAGATTCCCTTTTACCATTTGAAGACCAATGTAGTCCTTTCTTCTAGAACCTTTCTGGATTATATCTTGGTCCTGATCACCCTGTATCTAATATCCCCAGGACACAAGCCCTTGAATCTGCAGATTCATGCTTTAATTTACTCTATTTCAAGAGTGTTTTCTTCTCTTTTATCTTTGACTATTTTTTTTCTGTCTCACTTTTTCTGTCTCCCATGAGTAATGTTGGCTTTCCTTTGTCTTACTTCCATATTTATTAACTTCTGTATAATAATTTTGAAGTCATCATTTTTATTTCATATTGTCTGATTTCTTAATGCTTATATTATCTCCCTGACTTTTTCAATTGCAATTATCATTTTTTGTTTCTAAAATATATTT